ACTGGCTTTACTTCTACCACATATCTTCATTGCTCAGTCATTCATGTTACTCATTTTTATTCCATCATAGCTTTATCAATGAGTTCTCCCTAAATAACCTATTTAAAAATGAACTCTCTTCTTCATATACTCACTCCTCACTTTCCTGCTTCATTTTAATTCTACAGCACTTATTCCCTAACACTGTACATGTATACAGTGTTACACACACACACACACACACACACACACACACACACACACACACACACATTCACTTTGTATTCACTCTCTAAAACATGTTCTCCATTATAGTAGGATATGTGTGATCAGCCATTTACTTATTGCTCTATCCCACTATCCCAAGTGCCTGGAAAAATGGTAGGTCCTCAATAAACATGTCTTGAATAACTGAATGCATTATTGTATCTAAGTTACACTATCACAGCTGCTATTGTTAATAATATAATAAGATCTCAGTTTCTCTTTGGTTTTATTTCCAATGAAGTAGACATTTTAAATGCAGAAACATAAAATGTATCTCTGAATCAGTGAACCATTAAGTCTTTCATATAATGCAGACATGGAACCTATCTCATAAATTTACTGAGGAAATCTATTGCTCTAAAATTGCAGAGGATAAGTGAAGAAAGTCAGAATGTGAACACATTCCATCAAAATGAACACAGGTAAAAAATATTGCATTGCATTTATTGTTAAAAACTAATGCACTTCAGGGCCGGCCGAGTGGCGCGATGGTTAAGAACTGGCTTGGGATGCCAGAGGGCCCCGGTTCAGATCCCACATATGAGGGCCAGTGACACTGCCCTCCACAGCTAAGATGCTGAACAACAGCTCAACCTGGAGCTGGGCTGCCATGAGTCTCCGGCGACAGCGTAGGCTGCAGCCCTGTGGCAGTGGGTTGCCATGGGCTACCGTGTGTAGCCAGCAGCCAGCGTGAGCGGCCAGCAGCCGCAGTGAGCGGCCGTCCAGAAGCCGGTGACTGATCTGCCTTGCCTGGGAAGAGCGCAATGATGGTGCCAACTTGGGCCAGTGAAGCAACGTCCTCCACAACTAGACTGAAGAACAAAAGGACAGCAACTCGTCTGTTCCCCTTCCCCCAATTCCCCAGCACTGTTCCCATCCCCACAATTCCCCATTAAAAAAAAAACCAAAAGAACTAATGCACTTCAGAGTTGAAATATTAGAATTAAATGACTAAACACATCCTCTAAATGCTTGTTTGACCAACTCAACGTGTGTACAACGCTTCCACATATGTACTAAGTTGCTTCCACATATTTTAATAGCCATGTCCAATGATATGGAAGTTGTTATCAAGTGAGATTGTACTAGACTTGTTTATCATTGCCAAGTAGCTAAACTATAATAATGATCAATAAGTAAGAGAGTAATCCAATATAACTTTTAGAATGCTTCTTCAACATATCAATGGGTTAGCCACTGTTCCACATTGACTTGTTAACCATAATGTTTGTTTTACCTAGACCTATTGCATAAAAAAAATAATTCTGGTGAAATTCTTGGTGAGGACCATGGGGAGTGTTAATGGAATCATAGAAAGAGGGAACAAGAAAAGGGCCACTTTACAGAAATGCAAAATATTTTTTCTGTTAGTAATCAGATACATATTCTTAATTTCTTAGTTTACATGTATTTGATTAAAACCACATTAATAGATATATGGTATAAATATTTAGTACTCTCTTTGTTCTAAAATGGAGTTCAGGACACTTACAAGAACTCATGAGGCAGAGTAAAAACAATTGTATAATAAAATTATTGTAAGAAAAAATAAATCAAAAACAAGATTTAAAAATATATATGTTAATACCTGGCATACATGCTAATTACTTAGAGAAAAAAGGAAAAAAAATGCTTGCTGTTAGCCTACTGTGTAGATCATTTATTAAATTTAATTAATTTTTGAAAAACAAACAATTCAGCAGCTAAATATTTATGTCAAATTAAATTATTCACAGAAATGTAATAGGTAAATTGCATAGAAGTGAGATTCTATGGGTTTAAGAGCATCAACCACAGCCCCATCATCATCTTGCCTATGGATTTTACAGAGCTTACTTTTAAAAATCACTCTTCTAAACTATGTAAAATGATAAAGATAAGATGTACATGTATAACTATTGGAAAATGGAAACAGAATGCAAAATATGTTTGGTAAGTGCTTTTCTAGTTGAAAGCAAATTATTGAAAACACAGTAAAAGTCCACAAGTTGGCCAATTAACCAATGTTAAAAAGTTCAGTCTCTGAATTTCCCTATAAGCAAATCCTTAGAGACAAAATATATTCTATTTGGTTAAAAATAAACATATGAAAACAGGATAATAAATATACAAAAACATCCAAAAAATTAATGGAATAAAGCTTTATCAAATACTTTCTATTTCTTAATAAGCTAAAAAAACCCACAGAAGAACACTAAACAATGTATTTTAAACTATTAGAATATGGGTGGTCATATGAAGAAACAGAATTATGGAAAATTTGGTCAACGCAAGTTTCTAAAAATCTTCCCATGTACCATAGCAGTTCTTAAAAAAGAAAGTAAGATAATTTCTGGGACTTCTCACTGATATACTTTAATTTCTAGTCATACTGTAGATATCTTGGGGAAGAGAAAAAAGAACAGCAAAACCTCAGCTGAGGCAAGAGACCTGGTAAAGTTTTTCATTTTTATGTTTCCTGAAGTCGCTGATAAGGAAGTACTGGCCAGGAACGTATTAGCTATGGCTGAAAATTTAATATCGGATACAGAGAAAAGTCTAGATGTATCATAATAAACTCACGTAATATAAATAAATATATTAAGGGACTTACAGGAAAAAAAATATGTAGGTCAAAGACTATAAAAATAATTCCCAAATAGAGCACACAATAAATGAAACTAAAATTAAAAAGTGTTGGGGAGATTTAATAAAAAGAAATTTCACTGAAATAAAAAGAAAAGTGTAGCTTTGTATTGAAAAGTCACACCTCAAAACAGGAAATTTGGATTCAGCATGAGAGATGTAAGGACAAATGGGGGTTGGCCTAAAGCTTATCCAGTTTTATAGCTCTCTTTAAAAAAAAAGATTACAAAATATTGAATTTAAAATTAGGTATGAAAGTAAATATTTAGAATAAGAGGAAACAATAAATTATAATTTTTGACTAATACCACAAAATCTAAAAAAATTGTATTTCAATTAATTAAATCCTGATACATAATCATCATATTTTTCTCCCCTTCATTTACTGGTAGCATTAACTTCTATTGTCTTTCATAGGATAACTATATTGCACTAGTTTGTTCTCAAAAAGGAGATGATCATATTTATTTCCATTGGTATAGGTTACTGTTTAATATTAAGAATATAGAATAATTTATTTCAACTTCTCAAGTTATCAATAATGTCATGTATCGTTTAGGACGTTTGGCAATTTTAAGAAAACATCTATTCGAGTTTGCAGCCCCTTCCCTGAACATTTGGAAGAGTGTTCCACAGTCTAGCTTCTAGCTCCATACTTTTCAAACTGCCATTTTCCTGCCCACATGATTCAGTTGCTGGGTCCCATAGAGAATATATATGTATATTGTACTGTGGCCACTGCATATGTTTCTTAATGTTTTGATGCCTGGCAGTCAGCCCACTGAGAAGTAGGATTATTCCTGGAAACAACGAGGACACCAGGACAACTGTCAATAAATTAACTACACACAAAATTGACTGTGACCACATAAATAGATCAATAAAATCAAAGTAAACCCTACTTTTGCTTAACCCAATTCCCAAAATGTCTCAGGCCACACAAACCTTACTTTATATGGCAAAGGAAAAGTCAGAGTTGAATAACTTTAACTAACTGAAGAGAAAATATCTTATTTTTCCAATTTTTCCCATACATATAGGTAGGGCCTGTGTGAATACACTGCTAGTGAGTGACCATGAAGCGTAAGTTTTATTAGCTTTATGATATGTGTACTTCTGGTGAAGGCACATCCAAATAAACAAAAGGTTTTTGACTCACACAGGCTATCAACAACTTACGTATGTGGCTGGCCTCAGACCTCTCTTAGGCATTATTCAGAACCCCAACGCAATTAAGCCCCATCTATAAGTTCTGGAAGATGAAAACATGACCTACAAATATTACAGTCATGTGCACATCATGACGTTTTGGTAAACAGGAGACCACATATACAATGGTGGTCCCATAAGATTATAATGGAGCTGACAAATTTCCTGTGGCGGCCATCATAATGTCATAAAGTGAGGCATTACTCACATGTTTGCGGTGATGCTGGTATAAACAAGCCTACTGTGCTGCCAGTTGCATAAAAGTATAGCGCATACAATTACAGGGGTAAATTATGCCCTTTAGGTTTGTATAAGCATGCTATAATGTTCACACAATGACAAAATTGCATAAAGACACATTTACCAGAACATATTCTCATCGTTAAGCAGTATATGACTATATAACACACCTGGAAACAGTTGTTATAATGGGAAGGTGTTTCCAAAATTGAATATACTCATAGAGTGTTCCTGTCTAATGTACTTAATAATAAAATTAAGCCTATAAGTAAATTATTTAAATGAAGGGCAAAAAGTGTGATTAAATATCAAGTAATTAAAAAAAAACCCTAAATAGCCAGAGAAATTATGACTACAAATGAAACATAAATACTGCACCCTATGATAAACAAGGAGGAGATAAAAATATGAAATAATTATAATTTAATCTTTCATTCCAGGGAGTCAAAGGATACTACCTATTATTGAAATATGTATTTATAAATAACGTTTGGTGGGCGGAGAAAATGGCAGCTGTGAGGAGGGCTCCCTGAGTTCTCCCCCAGAAATCGCCGCAATTTGAACTGCTGTAACTCATCAAACGAACCTCTACTCATGACACAGAGCAGCTAAGAGACTCACACGCTCATTACAGGAAGGTGGGCAGACCGGGCGAGTGGGGGAAGAGGGAGGCCAGACGCATGGAGGCGCAGCCTGTACCCACAGCTGCTGAGATGCGGGACCACAGGAGACAGATTGGAGAGTGTTCCCGCAGCTCGCTCCCTGCGCCTCGTCGCCTGCATAGAGAGCAGCAAGAGTGCAACGGTTTGCAGTCTGAGGCAGAAGCCTTGGGCCTGACGAGTGCGGGAAGAGAGAGAGGAGACATGCGTGCAGAGGCACGGTCTGCACCCACGGCTGCGGAGCTGCGGGGCCCCAGGAGACAGAGTGGAAAGTGTTGTAGCACCAGGGCAGGCTTATTTCTGTGACCACCCACCCCGTCCTGCTGGGAGTGAAACAGGAGCTCCACGGCACACAGACTCTGAGGCAAAAGCCTCAAACCGGGTGAATGAGGGAAGAGGGAAGCCAGATGCGTGGAGACACAGCCCACACCCATAGCTGTGGAGACGCAAGACCCCAGGACGCAGAGCAGAGAGCATTGCACCGGGCAGAGTGGGCTCAATCCCTGCGCCCCTGTGGTCCCTCCCAGAGTGCAGCAGGAGCTCGGCTGGAGCATCTGAGGGAGAAGCCTCAGCTCACAACAGCAGTGGAACATTTCTTTGGGTTTTTTTGTTTTGCTTTTTGTTTTTTCTCAGACAGAAAGCAAAACACAACTGCATAGATAAGAACCCACCCCTACCCTCCCTCAGAAACCTTGACCTCTGCCTTGTCAGAGCTTTAGGCTGACCCCTGATTGGAGGAGTAGGGTCAGATGACAGAGGTGCTCCTACTCCCAGGGGGTTGAGAAACTCCGTATGAGAAGAGGCTGTGGTGTGAGCCTAGCTACCCCACCCCCAGCTCTCGTGCATGCTTGAGAAGCAGGGCAACTTCAGCTGCTAAGTCATTCACAGCCCCCCCTCCCCCCTCCCCTCCTCCCCCTCCCCGCAGGTGGCTTTTAGCAGCTCTGAAATCTCTCACTCCCAACAGCCTCCAGCGGAAAGAGTGCCCCTACGATGCACATCGAGCCCTCTGGCTGCGCAGCACTTAGCGTGCCTCCGGTAGGTGAGAGCAGAAACAGCATTGACTTTGTAAAAACTACCAATCACACCTCATAACCCCACTCATCTACAATAGACCTGCATTGTCAGGGTCACTCTAGGTGCCAGGTGGCTGGCTCTGCCCCCACAATATGCAGAGGAGGTTTTGTATAGCAGAGGACAACATGGAGAGAGCTTGGTGGACATTAGCAAAGACTGGCACTGGTTGTTTTTCTGCTTTTGGGTTTTTTTGTTTGTTTGTTTGTTTGCTTTTGGCGTGCTTTTTGTTATTGTTGTTTTGGGGTTTTTTTGGTGTTTTAGGGGTTTTCTTGGTTGTTTTTGTTTTTTTCTATTCATTATCATTTTTAGTTTTTAATATAGGTGAATATATGTGGATATATGTGTCCATATATATGGGTGTGTAAATATATATATATTTTTTCTCTTTCTTTCCTTCTTTCTTTTCTACCCTCTCTCTCTCCCTTCTTTTCTTCCTTCTTTTCACTGCTCTACTTTTCCTCCTACTTTCCATTTTTCTGCAATTGTTTTTGGGGGGTGCTGCTATTTTGTTTCTCGTATTTATTCTTTTTATTTTATTATATATTTTTTATTTTGTTTTGTTTTCTGTTTGTTTTTTTGTTGTTTTGTTTTTGTTTCTTTGTTTTCTTCTTTTGTACGTTTGATATTTCTGTACATGTTGAGTGTAGGTTGTTGTTGGTTGTTTTTCACATGTGAGAGTATCTGAATTCCTTTGGTGGCTGTTGTGGTTGTGCTTGTTGATCTATTTAGCTCTAAAACCCGCTCTGCAGCAGGGCCCAGCCAAAGAGACACAAAAATCATCACACCCAGAGGCCAACTTTAGATAAAACCAGCGCATTATGGGGTTTGACCTACAAGAGTCATTCCCAAAGGGAAATCGCTACAGGCACAGGAGCCCATAGGGACCAAGCCTCATTGGAGGGGTCAACCCTCACACAGCAGCTCATAAACTGTGGACACAGCTAATCCTCACAGCTAGTCAGCCTGGGAGTCAATCCCACCTACTGACAAGCCAAAAGCAATCAAAGCTCATCTCCAACAAGAGAAGACACACAACACAAGGAACACCTCTGGTACACACGCACAGGAGAATAGGGAGTCTGAACAATTCAAATATGAAGGACATATACCACATAATCCACCCAGAAAAGACTGAGAGACCTAGGGGATCTACCTATTACATTGAAGCAAGCACAAAGAGTAAGCCAGAATGGGGAAACAAAGAAACACATCCCAGATAAAAGAACAGAAGAAACCTCCTGAATCAATGGAACTAGCGGAAATAAAGGTAAACAACCTATGGGAGACAGAGATTAGAACCCTGATTATTAGAATGTTCAAGGAAATTAATGAGGATATAAAGAAAGTTAGAGAAATCATGAAAAACAACCAGTTAAAACTAAAGAATACAATTAATGAATTAAATAACAAACTCGATGGAATTACTAGTAGATTGGATGAAGCAAAGGATCGAATCAGTGACTTAGAAGACAAGATAACAGAGATCATCCATGCAGAATTACACAAAGAAAAAAGAATAAAAAAATTAAAAATAGCTTAAGAGAGATGGGCGACATTAAGCGCTACAACATGCACATCATAGAAATGCCAGAAGGAGAAGAGAGGCAGCAAGGGATTGAGAACATATTTGAAGTAATGTCTGAAAACTTCCCTAGCCTGGCAAAGGAAATCGACATACAAGTTGAGGAAGTGCAGACAATTCCAACCAAGATGATCCCAAACAGGCCCACACCAAGACACATTATAGTGAAAATGGCAAGGGTTAAAGACAAAGATAGAATCCTAAAAGCAGCAGGGGACAGGCAGCAAGTTACTTACAAGGGCACCCCCATAAGAATATCAGCTGACTTTTCTACAGAAACTTGGCAGGCCAGAAGGGAGTGGCAAGAGGTTTTCAAAATGATGAAAACAAAAGGCATACAACCTAGACTGCTTTATCCAGCAAGGTTATCATTTAAAATTGAAGGAGAGATAAAGAGCTTCTCAGAAAGAATAAGCTAAAGGAATTAATTACCACCAAGCCAGCATTGCAGGAAATGTTAAAAGGGCTGCTTTAAGCAGAAGAAAGAAAAAAAAAAAAAACACCTAACTAATGAAGACCAGGAACACAAATAACAAAATGGCAAAAGCTATGCACCTGTCAATAATCACATTAAATATAAATGGATTCAATGCTCCAATCAAAAGACATAGGGTGGCTGAATAGATAAGAAAGCAAGACCCTTGCATATGCTGTATACAAGAGACTCACCTCAGATCAAAAGACACATACATGCTGAAAGTAAAGGGATGGAGTAAAATATTTCATGCAAATGTAATTGAGAAAAAAGCTGGAGTACCAATACTTATATCAAATAAAATGGACTTTAAATTGAAGAACATAATAAAGGACAAAGAAGGCACTTAATAATAATAAAGGGATTGATCCAACAGGAGGACATAACCCTAGTAAACATCTGTGCACCTAACAAAGGAGCTCCTAAATATATAAAACAGATATTGACAGACACAAAGATGGAGATCAACAGTAACACTATCGTAGTAGGGGACTTCAACACCCCGCTGTCACCAATGGACATATCCTCCACACAGAAAATCAATGTGGAAACAATGGCCTTAAATGACACTTTAGACCAGGGGTTTTAACTGATATTTTCAGAGCATTTCACCCCAAAGCAACAGAATATACATTTTTCTCAAGTGCACATGGAACATCTTCCAAAATAGACCACATGTTAGGCCACAAAACAAGTCCCAATAAATTTAAGAAGATTGAAATCATGTCAAGCATCTTCTCTGACCACAAAGCTATGAAATTAGAAATCAATTATAAGAAGAAACCTGGAAAGCACACAAATTAATGGAGGCTGAATAACATTCTACTAAATAGTGAGTGGGCCAAAAATGAGATCAAGGAGGAAATCAAAAGATACCTCGAGACAAATGAAAATACCATGACCCAAAATCTTTGGGATGCAGCAAAAGCAGTCCTAAGACGAAAGTTTATAGCAGTGCAGGCCTACCTAAAGAAGCAAGAAAAATCTCAAATCAACAGGTTATCCTTACACCTCAGGGAACTGGAAAAAGAACAGCAAATGAAGCCCAAAGGGAGTACAAGGAAGGAGATAATAAAGACCAGAGTGGAAATAAATAAAATAGAGACCAGAAAAACAATACAAAAGATCAATGAAACCAAGAGCTGTTTTTTTGAGAAGTTAAAATTGACAGACCTGTAGCTGGACTCAAAAAAAAAAAAAGAGAGAGAGAGAGAGAGAGAGAGGACTCAAATTAGTAAAATCAGGAATGAAAGAGGTGAAGTGACAACACACCAAAGAAATACAAAAATTTTTTAGAAATTACTATGAGCAACTATATGCCAAAAAATTTGAAAATCTAGAAGAAATGGATAATTTTCTAGAAGCATACAACCTTCCATAGCTAACTCAAAAAGAAACAGAAAATCTTAGTAGATTGATTACCACCAAGGAAATTGAATCAGAAATCAACAAGCTCCCAACAAACAAAAACCCTGGACCAGATGGCTTCACAAGTGAATTTTACAAAACATTCAAAAAAGAATTATCACCTACTCTTCTCAAATTATTCCAAAAAACCCAGAAGGAGGGAAGGCTCCCAAACTCTTTCTATGAAACCACGATCACCCTGATTCCAAAACCAGACAATGACAGTATAAGAAAGGAAAACTACAGGCTGATATCCCTGATGAACATAAATGCAAAAATCCTCAACAAAATCTTAGCAAACAGAATTCAGCAATATATTAAGAAGATCATACATCATGATCAAGTGGGTTTCATCCCTAGTACGCAAGGTTGGTTCAACATCCACAAATCAATTAATGTGATACACTACATCAACAAAAAGAAAAAGAAAAAGCATATGATCATATCAATAGATGCAGAAAAAGCATTTGACAAAAATACAGCAGCCATTTATGATAAAAACTCTTAACAAAGTGGGAATAGAAGGATCATATCTCAAAATAATAAAGGCCATATATGATAAACTTACAGCTAACATCATACTCAATGGGGAAAAGCTAACACCATTCCCCTTAAGATCAGGAATAAGACAAGGCTGTCCACTTTCCTCACTTTTATCTAACATAGTTCTGGAAGTTCTAGTCACAGCAATCAGACAAGAAAAAGAAAGAAAAGGCATCCAAATCAGTAAGTAGGAAGTAAAATTGTCATTATATGCAGATGACATGATACTATATAGAGAGAACCCCAAAGACTCCATCAAAAAACCATTGGAACTGACAGACAAATTCAGTAAAGTAGCAGGATACCAAATCTATATTCAGAAATCAGTTGCATTTGAATATGCCAATAATAAACTATCAGAAGGAAAAATTAAGAAAACAATTCCATTTACAATTACTTCAAGAACTATAAAATACTTAGGAATAAATTTAACCAAAGAAGTAAAAGACCTGTACTCAGAAAATTATAAGACACTGAAGATAGGAATAAAAGAAGATACAAGCAAATGGAAACACCTACCATGCTCATGGATAGGAAGAATTAATACAGTTAAAATGTTCATACTGCCTAAAGCAATATATAGATTCAATGCAATTCCTATCAAACTACATAGGGCATTTTTCACAGAAATAGAAAATATAATCCTAAAATTTATATGGAACCAAAAAAGACCCCAAATAGTCATAGCAATCCTGAGAAATAAGAACAAAGTCAGGGGTATCATGCTACCAGACATCAAAACATACTACAAGTCTACAGTAATCAAAACAGTATGGTACTGGCATAAAAACAGGCACATAGATCAATGGAAGAGAATAGACAGCCCAGAATTAAATCCATGCATATATGGACAGTTAGTCTATGACAAGGGAAGCAAGAATTTACATTGGGGCAAAGATAGTCTATTTAATAAATGGTGCTGGGAAAATTGGACTGACACATGAAAAAAATGAA